GGGTTTAGGGTTTAGGGTCTGATTTAGGCGGCTTTTCGGGGGTCCGTTTAGGGTTTAGGGTTTATGGGGAGTTGTAGGGTTAGTATAGGGGGGTACACATATAGGGCTTGTAGGTTTCACATGGTTTTCCATGGTGCTTGTGGGCGATATTGGGGTTACTGGGCTTACGGTTGAGGGTCGGATGAATCTTTGGTCTCTGGGGCTCGAGAAGGCTTTGTATGGCTATGCAGGGCTTTCTGGGGACTTGTGGAATAGAAATTCTATGAACTCCATCCGTCTGCGTCCTGAACCCTTAACCGCTGCTAAACCCTGAACCCTAAGCCCTAAGTGGTATGAGGGTTTCCGACCCTCCAAGTACAGCGCTAAACCCAAAACCCCACTAAACCCTAAACCTAGCCTGAACCAGAGCTTCGAAGCGGACTCTCTCAAGGCGGCAGAAACCTTGAAAGCACCTTAAAGCGGGGGAACCCTTATAGACACCCTTCAGAAGCCTAAAGGAATCCATATAGTCCTTTTGCAAGCTTAGGGGGTTTGGGTTTAGGGATTGGCTATTTGGTGAGGTTCGAGCCACAACCCCAAAAGACTAGGGTTTAGGTTTAGGTTTCTAAAGACTTATATAAAGAAATCAGAACAAGGAACCCTAAAAAGGTAAGAAACCAGAACAAGGAACCCTAAAAAGGTAAGAAATCAGAACAAGGAACCCTAAAAAGGTAAGAAATCAGAACAAGGAACCCGAAAAAGGTGGGTAGGTGTTTCGGGGTCCAGGTGGGGACCATGAACAGAGGCCTCGTGGCCCTTAGTAGTGGGCCTTGTTCGTGCTGTGTTCGAGGGCAGGTCCTCAAGGGTTTAGGGTACATATGGCTTGGTTAGGGTTTAGGGTTTAGGGTTTAGGGTTTATAGGGTTTGGTTAGGGTTTCGGCATCGAAAATCGCAGCTGTGGAGTTCGTACGAAGCATCTCGAATATACTAAGCCTTTCAAACAGCTGGCTTGTTAGGCACCTGGATCAAACGAAAAGCTCATTGTGCGGGGTTGGCTAGGATTGCTTTGTTATCTTGTAACTATTCCTACCCAAACCGTTATGGTACGTAGTTCCCACTATAGAAACCCTATAGTCAACCTTTTACTCCGTGGGTCCTCTTACCAGCATCGCAAACCTTCCCTGCTGCAGCGCAAGAAACCCATATTTCTGGGCGGATCCGAAAAGCAGATCCCTTCAGGGGGGTGCCTAGAAAGTACCAAGTAGCTAGCAATAGTCTGCGCTATAAAGTTCCAAATGAGGGGATCTACCTTCTTAGATGCTCCTCGGAGCTGGGGAACAGCAGCGGTATGTTTTTGTGCATAGGGGGTATGCTGTAGGGCTGCAGGGTTTTAGGGTCAACGGTGCCCTTGAGCCTGTGCTCCTACGTAGTCTTAGCTGATCTTCTACGTCCGAAAGACACCCCTTTCCCTAAACCCTAAACCCTAAACCCTAAACCCTAAACCCTAAACCCTAAACCCCGCAACGCTCAGATCTCCGGCCAGCTGCAAAGCATCCGGGCTCACCTGCACAGGAAACCCAGCCCTTTCAAGGAAGGAAGCAGAAAGCCCCCAAATTGGAAGCAAGCCCCTAAGGGTCCAAGTCGTCCTTATGTATGCCTTCAAGTACCCGACAATGACACAATGTCATAGTAACAAGAAGGAGTACTGAAATCCTCAGGAAAGGGTGCATTACAGGATATGGTCAAGTCCACGATCACATGTTGCGGATATCCTGGCAAGGGTCCATGAAAAACCATCGTCTTCTGCTGCTGCGATTGTTTTTGCCGGGGCCTTGCAGTAGTTGCTGGGGTGCGCGGTTCAGGGTTCTGGCCCAAAAACCCTAAACTAAATCCTGAACCCTGAACCCTAAACCCTAAACCCTGAACCCTAAACCCTAAACCCTAAACCCTAAAGCCTAAAACCCTGAACCCTAAAGCATTAGCCCGGCGAATCTTCAACCCCCCCCCCCAAAACCGAGACCTGAGAGCCGCTTGAAGCCTCTAAGCCCCAAGTGCAAGCTTTAGGGGTTTAGGGGTGCAGG